TTGTCTGTCCCAGAACCTTTGCTGGTTTGAGTTAAATCAGAGACCCCCAGCATCCCAGCATGCTCTCTGGACTGGGAGGGGCTCTGCTGCAGTCCCGCCAGGCTGGCTCCACCCCTCTGCTCCGCAGCCCAAGCAGGAACCGGCAGCGGTCCGGCCAGAGAGGGGTTTAATTCCCCCCTCCGTACCACCGGCAGGGACCTGAGCCGGGTCTGTCCACGCTCCCCCTTCGCTGCTGCAGCAGGGGGGCACCATGGCCCCTGAGGCAGAGGGGAGCAGGGAGCAGATTTAGTTTATACTCCACCTCACTGGCAGCCAGGTGGCTCCCTGCCTGGGATAGGCCTCTGGTTTCACCCCTCCACTGGAAGAATAACCCTGTCCCTACCCCCACCAGGGGCCCTGCCTGACTGTGCCCCCTCCCCGCCGCTGCAGTGGGAGGGGAAGAGCCCTTACTGGGGGCAGCAGCCCCTGTCACACTGTGGGAGAGTACAAGCCCCTTCCAGGTGAGGGGCTGCGCTGTGGGCTCTGGCTCTGCGGCAGTGCTGAGGTATGGAGGGGACCAGAGCCTTGCAAGGCTCCACAGCCGCTCTGCCGGCCCCACAGCACAGCCACAGTGGGAAGCCGTGACAGGCTCCTACCCATTGGGCACTTGCCACTCGCTGTCCAGCTGCCGGCTTGTGGCAGGGCTGGCCCCCGCCACTCATTCTGTGCTGGGGCAGACCACTGAGGGGTCTTATTCAGCTGCCATTATTCCCCCCAAGCTTCAGCTGCTGCCTGGCCCGGCAGACCCCACAGCCAGCAGCTGAGTAAGCCCCTTCCTGCTGGGAGGGGGCTTGCTCCAAGCACAGAGACACCACTCGCACCACAGCCAGGTCTGCCCAGTGGGGTCTCCCCGGCATGGCCGACGCTGCCCTTTGCTCAGAGATAGCTCCCTGCTGACAAGAGGGGGCTTATTTAGCCACTGTCTCTAAGCACCAAGCAGCAGCAGCCAGGCCAGGCAGACCCAGCTGGGCAGACCCTGCTGCAGTGGAGTGGCACCTCTGTGCTTGGGGCAAGCCCCCTCCCAACAGGAAGGGGCTTATTCAGCTGCTGGCTGCGGGGTCTGCTGGGCTGGGCCACAGCCGAAGCTCAGGGGCAATAATGGGGGCTGAATAAGCCCCCTCATTGGCTTGTCCTGGCACAGAACGAGCTGCGGGGGCTGGCTCTGCCCCCACCCGGCAGCTGGAGTGGCGAGCAGTGAGTGCCCGATGGGCAGGAGCCTGTCACAGCTTCCTGGAGGGGCTATGCTGCAGGGCTGGCAGAGCAGCTGTGGAACGCAGCAGCACTGTGGGGGATTGCAGGGCTCTGGCCCCAGCCCTCAGTGCACAACCCAAGCCAACAGCACAGCCCCTTCCTACAAAGGGACTCGCTCTCCCCCACAATGTGGCAAGGGCTGTCACCCCCAGTAAGGGCTCTACTCCTCCCACTGCAGCACAGCTTCCCTGCAGGCAAGGGCTGGCTTTAGCACCCCCTGGTTCCTGGTTTGAGCAGCTGCAGGCATGTGCCCAGATTATCTCAATCCAGAGAGCATGTTTGTCCAGTTACAAACTGGTTCAGCCTAGGCAGGTTAGACTAACCTGCAAAGGTTGAATCAGTTCAGGCTCCGGCTTTTTGAATGTCTGTCCCTAGCCATGGAGAGCAGCCCCCTGACCAAATGACACAGCCCCCGTGCCACTCTGGCTGGGACCTGGGTCCATAACCTCTGCACATGGGGTTGAACCTGGTGTACCAAGTTGGACCTTACACGTGGGGTCACACCCAGCATATGGGCGGTGCTCCATCCCTGGCTGCCTGCGTGTACCCCCTAGGGCCTTCTCAAGTACCCCCAATCCCTGGTCTATGCATTTAATAATGAATAATAGTGGCCAGTGAATTAATAATGAATAGTAAATAACTTAGATTTTAGTGCACTTTTTATCCAGAAGTAGTTCATTAGCCACTGAGTTGTGGCAACTTTTGGGCAAAAACTTAATGTCTTTCTGTGCCAGGAACCTTGTACACAGTTCGCATTAAAGAAGGAAGTAAAGTAGAGATCAAGTTGACATTCCAGGAATTCCAGAGCAGACAACCTATGGTCAGGACCACTCTTTTTTTGTCTTATCCAGAACCCGCATCTAGGAATTCAGTCCCAGCCAAATATATATATATCCTGGAGTGTTGTTTCCTATTGAGAGTGCACTCATCATAGACTGCAAATGATAATACTTAGTACAGCATGTTGGATGTGAGCATCTCTCATCTAATTATTCATCAGATATTCCTGTGTTTGGCATCTGACGTCACAACCGTTATGACAGCAATTATGTAGAGGTGCATAATGCGTATCATGCCTCTCTAACTTTTAGGCTGCCAGGAAGCTACCCGCTATTCCCCCCTCCCTTCCAGGGACCTGGACCCCCCCAGGCTCCCTCAGCCTATGGGCTGCACCATCCCTCCATACCCCACCCACAACACCACATTGTAGAGGAATGTTGTAGAGGAAGCAGAGGAGGAAGGGGGAGCTCAGAGACTCTGGCAGTAATAGCAGCTGGAGAGATGAGTGAAGCAGTGACTTAGGCTGCAAATTAACCCCTCAGAGGACACAATTTGGACAGTCCTGATATATATCATACTGGGTGCATCTACACACGTGCTTTACTACAGAGGTGACTAATTAGCTCTGCAGTAAAGTGTCACCGTCTACACATCTGCCCTTATTATGGCACAGCAAATTAATTAACTTCACTCTAGAATAGTACTGTCCAGCACAAGTACTATCCTACAGCAGAGTAATTATGTGTGCTCAAACACACGTGTAAACTGTGACGGGGCTTGCTGGGGCACAAGGGGGACTACAGGGTGGGAGCTGCCTGCCATCTAGTACTGCAGTGTAGCATCCCCATGCCCCAGCCAGCCCCAACACCACCCTACGCTGCCACCTGGAGCCCAGGGCTGACCCCCTAGGCCCTCTGCCAGCCCAGGGCTGCTCAACTCCAGCTTGAATTACTGCAGTCCCAGATGCACATAAAGACACTGTGCCTGAGAAGCAGCTGACTCCAGCGTGAACTGCACTGGGGTTTATTCAGGCACATTAATAGCATGTGTAGATGCACCCAGAATGTAGTATATCTCATCCAGCTCACCAAATAGTTTCATAGTGCCCTCATGGAAACTATGTAGTTGAAACTAGACAAAAAGTTTGTACCACGGTAAGCTCTCGCAGAAAAAAGCACAGAGATGTGAATGCCAGTAGGAGCACAGAACCACTTTCTTTCTAACGTCATAACACTCCTGCTCAAAGGGAATCTACAAAACACTTCCAGGAGACAGGTTAGGGAATCCATAGCCTTCCTGGACATTAAAAAATATGGATTTAACAGACAATGATTTAATCACTTGTTACAATCTTAAAAACTATCTCTTCTAATCTCCCTTCACTCCAGAGGTAATAATGAACCTTTTCATTCTTGAATGATCTTGCTCCTCCACTAACTAAGTCACCTACTCTACTTTTCTTAGGAAAGCTCATGATAATCTCTATTTGCTCCTATTTTATAGCCTGCTTCCGTTCCTTCAAGCAGATGAAGCAGTTAGTATCAAGGTGCCACCCTGCCCTCCTTTCTGTCTTATTTACAGAGTTAAACACAGACCCCCTTTTTTCCCCTGCGTTAGCTTAGCTTGTGTCTGCTTCCATTTCAGGTCTGATGAAGGGTACTTTTTGCCCAAAAGCGTGTCTAACATCTTTCCCAACTTTGCAGTTAGTCCAAAAAAAGATATCACAAAAAAACCCTTAGGTCTCCTACATTTCTTGGAACATCACAGCTACAGCCACATTCTTACACCACTACAGGGATGCATGTCAGAGCCCTGACAGATGTTGCACTTAAGATGCGATTGCTTGGTTAATCATGCTTTAAGTAGTGACCAGGCCACATGTTTATTCAATTGATGGCATAGCAAAGTTATTACACAAAGTGTGCATGTAATTGAACGTGCGGCCAGTACCCACCCTCTGGACCACAAGGGAGACTTTCAAGACTGCTGTGTGCTCCGGAGGCTGAGAGCGCCCCTCACCATGTGCTTCCTTGGCTGGATTGGAGTTCCCAGCCACAGAAGCACAATTCATCAGCGCTCTGATCAGTCGCCATGAAAAACATTTAATGAGGGCAAAGATGCATAAACTAAAAATACTGGTTCCAACCTTATATTTATTTCCTTGAGATTTTATTTAATTTAGGAAATGTTTCCTTTATAGCTTCTAAGAAGTTGCAATGTTATATTACCAGTCTCTATCTTTGGAAACTCTTGATTCTTCAGTCAACTTTAGTGGAGGGTGGGTATCTCTTCTGTTTGCCTTGCACCTTATTAGAGTTTTTATGTAATAGGTCTGAGGGGTAATATAGATTTAGGATCTGAAAGTGCAGCTAAATGCATAGCTTTACATAGCAATGGTCTCCACAGATCTGTTGTTAACAGTATTGCTTGTTAAACACATTTGTTCTGGTTGGTGGTAATTTAGGTTTTTATGGAGGAAATCACAGCTGCTTTCATGGAGCTAGTTACAATATACAAGCACCTTTAGTATTCATTACCATGGAGGCCTCTGACAGAGGACTCTGTTGCAACTATAACACACTTATAACACTGACTGATGAAAATGGAATTTAATGAGCATATATATTTTCAGTACTAAATAATAATGCATGATAACATTAATAAATGCAAAGTTTTACCTCTGTGACCTATCTTGTCTTTTCCCCCAGTGTATTGCTTACATTAAGGTGTCCAAAAAACACAATGCAGGCAATATGTCTAAATAAGAATATAAAGCCCTGTTCTTCTTTTCATTTTAAAATCTGATGAGCACATGCCCAAGGATGAGGGATATAAAGGATTTCCCTTTTAAGAAGGAGGAATTGTTGTAACAGGAAGAGGCTGTGGTGCTATTTGAACCAGATGTTGTTTTTCTTTTATCTTTTTTTTAGGGTGAAAAGGGAGCTGTAGGTGACCCTGGACCCAGAGGACCATATGGTTTGCCTGTAAGTGGCATGTAACCTGTGAACATTGCAACTTTCACCACTCCTTAATTAAACTTTGTATGCTTTATGGCCGTATTCCATCTAGCAATGTAATTAGTTGAGGGCGGTAAGGAGAGATAATAATCCCTGACAATGCAAGGTCACTGCACTTGAAGCAGACCCATATCACAAAGATAGACAGATTCATATTCACATGTACAACTATGCAAAAGTAATGGGATGGAGCTGACATAAACCAACATGAGTGAGGATATCCAGACTTAAAGTGCTCCTTCTTCCAGCACTCGTGGATTATGTATTGTTATACATGTTATTAGCTGTCTAGAGACCACCAAGACAGTGGCAAAGGTTCAGAGCCGTTTGTAGTCTTTATGGTTTCCTTAACGTCTGGATTCTTGTTCAGATTTCTTTGACACAATAATATTTTGCTTTTATATTTTGGTTTTATGTATTTCTAAGTATATGAGATGGGAAAGCTTTCAAAGGCTGATAGTTTGGGTTTGGTTCAGATAAACATTTGAAAGGTCAGATGCTTATCTTACCGTCTTTCATCTGATTTCCTAGTGGCACTAAGTTTGTACTCTGGGTCTTGAAATCTCACTGAATATTGCAGAGGACACATTCCCTGATCAGAAACCAGAAGAGATAAAAAAGATGCATCTGAATATACCTGAACAAGCACACCTCAAGGGCAAGGAAGCTCTGTTTCATATAAACTGATTAAGTCGTTTACCCATCACTAAATTAGGTTGACCATAGTTTCAGCTACTGTAAACTGGCCTAGCTCCATTGAAGTCGGTTGAACAATCCTGGTTGACACCTACTGCAGATCTGGTCCAGGCCATGGATACATTTGTGTCTGTGTGCACTGACACAACAAAGGGCTGCAGTCAATGACAATGCAGATCTGTTCTAGCTTCGATAAGATTGCAGCAGTTCCTACTGATATCCTGTTTGGTCATTTTTGACAATGGTAGGGCATTGTTCATATCCTCTGTTGTAAGCCTCTTGGTGCCAAGCTGAAAGAATAGCATCATGTGCCTTATACCTTGCTTCACCAAAGTTGCTCCCAACATGAAGGCAGGCAGTGTTTATAACAGTCTTCCGGGGAGGGTAGGTTGAATAGAGCTCGAAGTTCCATAGAGCCCTTTCAAAAGGGGTTGCTGAAGGAAGAGTGCATCCTTTTGTTCTGCACTTTTCCAAGCTAATACTGCCCCTTTTAGATATAAGCTGGACTCTGATTGTCCTCTCAGTATCTGAGAAGTAGGGTGGCATGAATAACTGGTTTATGGTTTTGGTACCCAACTTGAAAAATTAACACGTGCAATTGTGTCATTGACCACAGCATGAGGCTTTTCATATCTGCATCTGTGCATGCTGGGGCCCCATCTCATGAGGTGCTGGGTGTCCACAACTCATACTGATGTCAGAACATTTGATCTGCTCCTGACAGAAGTCAAGGACAAACTTCCCGTGCGCTTTGGACAGAGCCAAAGCAGGTCCATGAGTGTCGATGGTCTTTCAGCACTGTCTCTTTACTAAAGCTCTTTGTGAAATAGTGGAGTAGTAGTTTGCTGTGCATGCTCATTTGATGGCCACTTGTGTAAGCAAAAACTTTTATTTCCTGTCTATGAATTGAAAGGGGTGGAAACCGTGGGCTTTGCTTCATTTTAACTTGCTCCTGGAAGCTGTGTGCTAAGGCTCAATCAACAGTAACATTTTACAGTCAAGTTATCAGTTTCTGGAAACAGAGGAAATGTTAAACACTGACAGAAAGACCCTTCACTAATGGCAATGCTCTTTGTATAATCTAAGAAATGAGCTTTACTGTTCTACAGAGAGAGAATCCTGCTACATTCCTGTATTATCTAGACAGAAATCAGGTGCTACATATGAAGATGGCCTTTTTGGGTATCGTAAGCAAACAAGAGGTCACACAGGCTAAGGACAGAAATTATATATGAACTGGTATAAGTAATTGCAAACCAGTTTGAATCTGTAATACTACAGAAGTTCAGTGCACATAAGCCACTCTCAAAATGACCAGAACCATTTTAGGATAAGCCTGTATGGATGTAGTACCAGACTTAAATGATTTAGGTTAAATCAGTTTATTGAACTTCTGTCTCAGATCCCCTCCAGATTCAAGTTAACTCACAGTCCTCTCAGCATCCCAGGATGCTTTGTGCACCTCTCCCACAAATCCCCCTTTGCTGGGTGGGCGGGTAGCTTTGGACCAAGTTGCCTGCTCCAGCCAAGCAGCGAGGCATGCTCTAACACGCTCCAGCTTCTGGCCTGGGCCACTGCAGGCATGTGGCTGCATTTCTGGAATTGAAAGTGAATGTCTGTTCACTTGCTTATCGGTTCAATCTGTGCAGCTTAGACTAACCTGTGAAGATTGAATCAATTCAGCCTCAGGCTTTTTGATTGTCTGTACTTAGCCATAGTGACAAAGCCTAGGGGTGCTAATAGAGTTTATATGGTTCTTTGGCAGGGCAAAGATGGCGAGCCTGGCCTTGATGTAAGTAATATTTATGACCAGTTTACTCACAATGGTAGGTAAACTGTTCTTTCATGCAGTAGTTGCCTGGATGCAGCACATCTTTTTTTTTTTTTAATTACTGTGCATGCTGAACATGTAGGGAATATACTAAACATTGCACTGCTGTTGTTCGCATATGACAGAAGGAAGAGAAGGCTGGAGAGAAAAAATAGTGTATTTTGAAAAAGGACAGCCCAAACCTGCTAACCTCAGTGAGGCTTACTAACATAACCTCCCTCGGACTCATCACTGTAGTAGCATGATTGCTACACATGGCAATATTTCTCCAATCTGACCCTCAATAGTATTCCTCACTAGGCTCAGAACATCAGTCCTTAACAGCTGGTTAAGTAAATTCATCACTGTTTGAGAAGAATAACTGCAAACCCCACAAGCAGTGCATTATTCAGAATTTAGGATTTCTGATGACATGCTAGGGGGAGCTTCCTGGGATCCCATTTCCCAAAGCTACAGACCACAGCATCCCTGTCACCCAGAGCCCACAACTACCACTTAGCATGTGCAACAGGGAGAGTCACTGCCATTGCTTCTGTTCCTGCAAAATGGCCTTGCCAAATAGCATGATTTGCATTCCTTACAAAAAAAGCATGCAGCAATGTAGTCCTATATACATTTCCCAGCAGTATTTTACAATCTAGCCCACATACATGTCAAAACCAACAGAAATCTTTGTTCATTTTTTATAGGGTTTCCCTGGTCCTCGAGGAGAAAAGGGTGATGTAGGAGAAAAGGGAGAAAAGGTGACTTCAGTGCTGTTTGATATTGCTTGACTCCTTAGCTCAGTTAGTTTTGTCTTATAATTTGTCCCATTAGACCTGATCTGTCTTGCTTACTGTGTGCCAAAAGGCAGGTCACAGATATTTGGTAGAGAAAGTCCTCTGTCACAAAAAGAAAAGAAACCTATGTGCTGAACCAGAAACCATGGACAACTGGTACCACCTTAGTTGGGGGGGGGATGTGTCCCCACCAGGGACTAGTCAGCAACCAGGGGGGGCTCCCCTCACAGCCAGTCTCACTGACTGGGGGGTGTTCACCTGCTGACTAGGAAGGGGTTCCCGGCAGCCAATCTCACTGACCGGAGAGTGGGGAGGATCCCCTGCAGCCAATCGTGCTGACCGGAAAGTGGCTATTGCACTTCATCCAGCTCTCTGACTCCCTGGCCGGTGCTCGCAGGGTGGGCACTGGCACTCCCACCTGTTCCCCCTACCCATTGCCTAAGCAGGGAGTGTGGCCTGTCAGGGGTGCACCAGCGCTCTCAGGGGTACACATGCACCCCCATACACCCCCTACGCGTTGCCATCCTCATCCTAGGATTAGGCTGTGTTCTATAACCCATTTCATGTCTGCTGAAAGTCTGTGTCAGCCTGGGGAAGATTATACTAACATGAGGTAGTGCAGCACTGACTTTCCATTGGGGACCTTTGCTCAGCTCCCCAACTGATGTAAAATCAGTGTAGTGCTCTGGATTTCAATGGGTCTGTGCCATTTTACACTAGCTAAAGGTCTGGCCAATTATTAAGCTGCTAAGGACCAAAAATGGTGCAAATTCAAGATTAAGAGAATTCACTTAATTGTTTCTATTCAATAGCTTTTATTGATTTAAGTCCTGCACCACAGTTTTTGTAAACGAAACAATGAAACATTTCTGTAGTGCACCAGACAGTGAAATTAACTAGGAACTGCCTAGCCTCATTTTACTGTCTGAACGGAGTCACATGCATATACTAAGCAAACACAATGAGGAGCAATTTAGGGGTTGAAGCAAAAATGGTAGCAGCCCTTTCTTGGGAAACAGAGTGAGCACACAAGGAACCACCTTCTCTTGTGCTACAAGTATAGGTCTCTGTGCTCATAGGGGCACTCTATAACTGACTTGCAATACCAGCCTGGTATGTGGGGGGAGCAGACTGTATTGTCTTAAAGGACTGCAGTATAAATGGTTCCAAACATTATTTATTAGCTTAAGTTTTTAATTGACTTCACTTTAATTATATCAATACCATTTTTTGAGTTTACTTGCCACAGACATGTAGGTGATCACATTTCACTGATTTGTGTTCACAGAAAGTCCCATGACAAGAACTGACAGAAACAAAATTATGAAGTGACATGTATAATGGATCTTTGCTCCAGAAGCATTCATTGAATTGAATTGTTATAACTCAGAAGGCTTCCTGCAAAGCATTCTCAGTTACAGCGGGGAGCTGCACTTCTGTCTGCACCCCACATTCCTGCACTGGGAGGCAGAGAGCACCTGTGAGCAAGCAGATCATTGCTTAATTGATGAGTCATTAGGCTGCTCACTGTTTTCCTCTTAGGTTTATGAGTACTAATCAGGGTTGCCAGCCCTCCAGAATTGCCCTGGAGTCTCCAGGAATTAGATACAAATCTCCAGGAGACTCTGAGAGTCACCTAGGAGATAAATTATAGGGAATTCATTAAAATAAATATGAAATGTTGAAGCCAATTTATACAGTAGTCCAGCTAGTTTTTAAAATGTAATAGTAATGTGCATTCACCTTCCTGATGAAGGCTGCTTGTACAGGCCACAGGGGTTTAATTCAGTTTAGTTCTCCCTAAATTGAAACAGTGAGTTTTTAAAAAACACCGCTTCAATTTAGAGAGAATTAAACTGAACTAAACCCCTGTGGTGTGTATATAAGGGTGGGGACCCGATCCTTACCTGCCTCTTCGGCAGTGGGGAGGTGGAGTGAGCTGCCAGCAGTCCAAGTGGTCCCTGAGCTGCGTGGGGGCCCCTCAGGCAGCACCCACCCACTGGGACCCAGCCCGGGGAGGCACCACAGCCACAGAGGGAAGCACCGGGCCCCCACACAACTCAGGCAGGCTCTGAGGAGAAAAAAAAAAGACCAGGCCGCCACTTTTTTTTCCTTCTTCTTCAGTGAAGCTGCCCTCATGGGCTGCTGCTGGGTCCCACAGCCCCTGAGCTGCACAGGGCCCACCAAGCCCCAAGCACATAGGCTTCAAGCACCCTGTGCACTGTTGCACTTTCTTAGGTAGCAAAGTAAAACGTCTTAGAGGTGTTTTATCTTGCTAAGTACCAAAGTCATTTAAAGTGGAATGTGCTGTCGAAAGTGCAAATAGCAATGCCATTGAAGCGGAATACGCTGGCAAAAATGCAAACAGCAACACCATTAAAGCAGTGCAAAAGAGCATTTAAGCCGCTGTAAAGGCCAATTTTGTGGTGTGTACAAAGGTCCATAAAGTTGGTAGTGAATGAGTTTTAGAGAACAGTAGACCAGTCATTAATGTAATTATACCTTGTGATGAAACCTCCGTGAATGATCTCAGAGTTGGCAACACTAGTACTAATCCCCCTTGCCCTATCCCTCTTCCCCTCCCCTCCTTGCTTCTCTCTGCCTCCCTGCTGCCTGCCCTTTGCCTTCTGCTTCCTGCTAGGGCACCTGGCAGCTTCCCTTCCCCCCTTCCCTGCCAGATTGCGCCCACCTGGAGCTAAAGGATAACCAGTAAGCTAACCAGTTATCACTGCACTTACCAGTTAAACAATTAATCATTTAACTTTTCACATCCCTAATTTCCAAAGTAAGAAGTTGAAGTTAATTTACCTGTAAAAATGTTCAACACAAATAACAAAAATGCTACTTTTGATACCATACCATAATAATGTACTTTTGTTTTTCATAGACGTATGTTTCATATAATGTTGAGTCAGGTCCAAATCTCTATTCCCTCCTGTGAACAAACTGCACATGATTTCTCCTACAGGTCCTCCCTAAGTCTGCTACAGTGAAATGGAGTCAGTGTTTGCATTATAATCTCTGCTTAACTTGGCTGTAAAAAAGTAAAAGTCTTCAGAGCTGTATGTTGATAGACATGGGTATAGCTGTGGAGTGCTAGTAGAGAAATAGGTTTCAAAATTGATTCAGTTTTTTTCTTTGTTGTATGATTCAAAAAATGAATCCTTATAAATCATTTAATTAAATACCGTTGTGGTATTTTGGGTCACTAAAACAGATTTTAGAAAGTCAGAGAGGCCAGTAATTAAGGTTTTATATCTTCTTTTTATTTTTAATCTTCAATTCTTTTATGTAACCTGCCTTTAGAAGGAATTAAGGATGGAGATACTTTTTTGACTACAGACTAAGAGCTTGACTCTGGGAAGCATTGTTCATGTCAGTGCTAGCACACTGCAGGTCTGACCTTAAGGACCTTGTGCTCCCTCCCATGCACTGATGGGAAATCTGTGCCCATGGGACATAGGAGCATGTGTCCTTCTCTAACTGTGTTGCAGTCTGTCCATGGGCCTGGAGGGGGCAGGAAACAACGTGAGGAAACCAGCTGTGATTCTCTAGATTTTCCATCTACAAGTATGCAGAGAGACAATTGCACAAGTTATTGCAGTCTTAGTCTAGTCTTCCCATGCTAGGCTTATCTGTCTAATGTGGGAAGAGCAAGGCCATGCCCAGCCCAGACCAGGAGGGATTCCTTGAAGCATGGTGCCTGAAAGAGCAGTGCTTTAGAAAACCTATTGGTAGAAGGCAGCAGAATAAAAGAGGCATTCACAAAGACACTCCTTGTCCTCTGTGGATCCCCTGAAGTTCGCGTAAACCTCAGATGGTGGGTGAGTTGAAGAATAAAGGGAAAAAAACCCCTCGTTCATGGGAGAAATTAGTAGGAAGCTCAGTGACCTGAAACTGAATTACTCACCTCTTCCATACATAGATTTTTTCCACTTAGAAGGAAACAGGGACCCTTGGTTTTCACTGCAAGGTTGGAAATCAGAATGATCATCTTTTGATCTGTAAATTGATCACATTGGAAGCAAAAGTCTTACAGAATTTAGGAAAGAAAATTAATATGGAACCAATTCCTGCTATACATTTTCACTTTTTTCAGGATCTGACTATACTTAATGTTATAATTTTACCAACCCCTGGAATTGACCGATCTCACCTTGAAGTAAATGAGTTTTTCCTAAATAAATAGTGTTGAGCTGAACTCCCCATTGTGCCTGGATTTTCAGAATCTGTGAAGAGAAGAGAAAAAGGCCTTCTGTTGACTTCAATAATTACTGCTGCACCAGCAACCAAAGCTGCAATAAGGCCCTGGGTCATTATGAGTGGGAGCCTAGTCATACATGTACCATCCACATCTTTGCTAACCCTGAAAACATTTTACAGCTGTTCTTGCATGTATGTGAAGTTAGATGTGTTTGTGCTATACAGGAGGCACAGTACACAAACACTATAAGCTCTCACCCTGAAATGCTATCTTTGTCACAACAGGTAAAGATTGAGCTACCTTAAATATCCTGACATTGTTTTGTGTGTGTGTGTGTGAGAGAGAAAGTGACAGCCTTAACGTTCCTTAAATGTGAAGTGTTTGTGAGGATGTGTTTTTCCTGATATGCAACCTTTTTGGCACACAAGAAAGATAGATGAAGAACTCTTGTTTACATAGCATCATAAATATAGTACATCTGTTCATGGGGAAAAAAAATCTTTTAGTGTGAATGTATACTATAGCATATCTTATATATTATGTTTAGTTTGTAAAATATATTAGTTTGCTTAATAATTTAAAGGTTGTTTAAAAAAAGGTTATTTCTTTCTGCAAATGAATTCAGTCTTTATGTATTGCTGTGAAATTGGTTGAATGTCTATTTCATGTATTTTATCCTAAACATGTCTGCCTTTCCAGAGGTGCACTCATTCCTTCTCCTTCTACCTTCATTCCTTACAGTTCCTCTGTCTTTTTTATCCTTTTCCTTACAAATTAAATCTTCCCTACAGCCAAAACCTTGACCACCCTCCCTTGGCTATGCTCCAGTGTCATACTAATTTTCCTTTAACTATTTTTCCGATTTCTTTGTAATATTCCTGATTTTTCCCACCCTGCCCTATTTAGCCCTAGTCCAACTAGTTTCAATTTATTTTTTTTACTAGAAGCATTTTGATGTTGTTAAATGAGAGTGAGCCTGAAACTCATTTACCATTGTGATCCACTGGTGTGAAATCAATTATAAAATGAACTCTTTCAGTATCATGCACTGCTTGAGGTAGAGGTCACTTTTTCAGGTAGCTCTGTCAAAAAAACGGAGGAGGGGGGCAGGGAGGGGTGTTATATCCTCTGAATAATCAAAAGCTGTGAAAGTCACTGTAAACCTCTCATTCAGAAACATTATCATCCCCTTTGTAACAGCAACTCTGTGCGACTCCAGTCACGTGATCAAAGGACCAAATCATGTTAAATATCCTAATGAAATTTTCCCTGCAAGGAAGATTCATGTTGTGAGCATGGAATTCATTGCCACTTTCAGTTAGATTCTGATTTGAGAAAGATAGGGATCAATGGAAAATTTTGTAGCACCTCTACATCAAGCAGTTTGGAATCTCTGAGTCCTTTAGCAGGGTTTGAAATGAAGGGCCAGACTTTATTCAGAGTGGTATCTGTGCAACCCCATGACTACAACAGGCTCACGCAGGCATAACTTAAGAGGAGAATTTGGCACAGATTCAGGTGGAACTGACACGTGTGACACCAGTTCAGCAAAGAGCATCCTGAGCCAATCATTCTTGAAGTGACTCTGCTGAATGTGAGAGTCAGACAAGAAATCATTTCCCCGTATTTTTCCCTTCGTTTCCCATCAGTTCCCACTTCCTCCGTTCACATGAATTATGCTGATTCTTGCAGAGCCACATCTGATTAGAGATTCTGCTTGCCTGTTGAACCCCAAGGAAAGTGAAAAATTCTGCTTGTCATACCAGTCAGTTTCCATGTTAAAATGGCAGCACTAACAATCACTGAGGACAAGTAGGAGACACCTGATCCTGCAGAAAGGTTAGACTGGGTGGGCTTTCAGCTTTGTCTCTGCATCAGGAAATCCACCCCATTGTTTCAAGCCCTGCTTTAGGATTCAGAGCATTTATAAAGCCAACATGAATACAAAAGCTCAATAATCCCAACTGATTCAGTCCTTGCTTATGATCATATAACTTATTTTTCCACATAATGCACTATCCAAACCAGAACACAGTGGTAAGTGTCCTTTCAGCCCTCCATTGGCTAAAAAAAAATATTTTTACACCAATCTTTCTTTATTCTTTTTTTTACCAAAAGAATGAAACATTTGTTTTATCCAAACCATTGTGTCCACAGGGGGAAAAGGGAAAGAAAGGCAAAAAGGGGCCTAAAGGGGAGAAAGGAGAACAGGGTGCCCCTGGATTAGATGCACCTTGCCCATTGGTATGTCTCACTCCTGTATTGGAAATCGATCATCCTACTGTACTTTAGAATGACATAATCTGAGGGGAGAGGAACAAGCTACAGCTACCGTGGAACCTGGTCTCCTTCATTAAAAGATCATCATTTGCTAGTCTGAACATTGTTTTTGCCAGTCCAATTTGGTTTGAAATACCAGCTTTGAAGATTTTAAAACAGGATGTTATTGATGGGATATTTTGCTGTGTCTGCATTCTGGCTACCTGTGTCTGCCAGCATCATGTGCAAATTGGGACTGCAAGTAGTCTTTTCTTGATGGAAGTAGGTGCATTTAAAAAGTCATTTCCACACATTTAAAGCACCATTGCTGTCAGCTTTCTCCTCTTGTTCTCTGTTTTTATTTGTTTGCTCCAGCTAAGTCAACGCCCAAGGCATTTCTTTGTCAGTAACGTTACAAGTTAATCTTTACAAACAGGGATTCCGTGGAATTAAGGGGGAAAAAGGGGAGCCAGGCCAGCCTGGCCTGGATGGGCTGGATGCCCCTTGCCAATTGGTACAGTATTTCTCTTTCCTACCAACCCTGCATGCGGTTCCTTTGTTTGTAGTCAGTCATTCCCAATGTAAAGTGTTTCTATGAGCAGACTTTACATTGTTCACATAATACATGCATGTGCATGAAAAAAACAAGCTTGCTTCACTGATCATAACGGTGTTGAGAGAGTACGCAGCGGAACCTAACACCCAACATTTTGCTCCCACATGGTAGTTTGTAAGTTTGTGTCCTTCCAACATTTGCAATGAATATAATTTTTTCCCCTCAGGACTGCTTGTTTTTGTTTTTCTCCCAAGATGCCTATTGCCTTACTCACTAAGAACAAAATTCACCTCTGGGCAGAAAACCAGCATAAGGATCATTTACCATTTACAATTTATGGCTGTGTCTGCATAGGTGTGAATTTTATCCTAACCTGCCCTGGACCATTCTGCACACTTGGCTCCAGTTAAAATCAACAGGAGTTTTGGATGCAAGATGTTTTCAGGATTCAGGCAAGAGATACATCCATGTAAAGAATGAAATAAATATTGATCTGTCAAAGCTGAATCACAAACGCTTGCCCTAAGCAATTAATGGTCCTGATTCTTCAGACCTGATTCATCAGAATGGAGTTTTTGGTACATATCAGGCCTACAGGTCACAACAGTATTTAAATTTGAAACACAAGACTTACCTGAGCTTTGTAAGAAGATAATGGTCTGCAGCCCGACCCCTCACTGTCTTTGTTATTTAACATTTTCAAGTTAATGGTCTTTTCCCTTGGAACTTACCTCCCTGAAATACACACAATACTCTCCCACTCTATGTTAGCATGAATTCAAGTTCCCATCTCTACTAAAATTCTACTTGTTGACCCTCTCCCTTGTACCAATCTGGCAACAATGAGGTTTTTTTTCACATTTATATATAGATATATATATCAAAGGACATATTAATTTTTCCATTTAAAAATGAACAGTACATACACATTTCCTAAAGGCTTAAGAGAGATTTTTTTTTAATTGTTGGAAATTAAAATTGGTCTGCATGTTCTGATATTGTTTGTTAGCTAAGCACGGTTCTCTTTAGATGAATGTTAAAATTAAATAGATATTATTTCAAGTACACTGTTTCTAATTTAATTGTTAGTGGGATTTTAATCTTAAGTACATAGTTCATGTTATATTTTGTTTGCTTCTGATTAATGATAACCATATCTCATATACTTTGTTGGGGGTAATCAAGCATGCCTTCATAACTAAAAAAAAGTGTTCCTCTGCTGTTGCTGTATCACTTATATCTGGAAAATCCTTACTGATGAATGAAAAATATTCTTCTGTAGATAGGCAGTTGTCAGGATAAACTGTTAACTGAGCAGTGATCTTTCTTGTTCTAGAAAGCAAGAAGTTCCCATGAGAGTTCAAAAGTTTCTTGTGTTTCTCAGAATTGTTAACAGATAAGAAATCCACCTAAATAACCTTTTAAACACACGGGGCCTGATTTTTCTCATTTACATTTCAGTGTCTTGAGATGCTGAATTCCACTGACTCTTAGAACTTGCCTCATTGCAGGTTCAGTCCACACACCAGGAACAACTTCATTAAATCAGGAATAAGTCAGTTAAAAACTGTGTAATTGAAATCAGAATCTGGTCTTTATCTGGGGCACAGAGGGTGTAAGCAAAAGCAGGGAATGGTAAAAGGAATGGATTAAAGTGGCTGCAGCGAACAGAGTCCAGGTACTGACAAGCATATTGCAACCAGCTTGACAGATGAATATCTGTCACACAGTGTAGTCAGCTTCTATTTTTCCATCCTGCTCCCACTATTTTCAAAACAACTTCAACTGGTTTCAGTGGTTGTAGGTTCAGTAGTTTTCCTTTTAAAAGCTAAGAATTTTTTTAAAATCAAAATATTCCCATTGGTGTTTGGATATAAATGTCTTCTCACTGAGTTAACTTTGGACCAGGAGCATAAAGCAATACACTCCAGATAAAAGTGATACATCATTGTTCATTGATTTTGTATATTCAGCTGTAGAATGTTATGAATAATAGACTTGCATTAAAACAATGCATAGTTCTGCAGGGAGTGAATCTGGTTCAGCTGATTTGATGCAGCCTTGATAGCAACAGGCTTGCAGTTATGATACACACAGATCAGTGTGAGTAGACTCTGTTCAGTCAGGATTATATTTTCCTCTAAGGAAGGGCAGGATTGTAGGTATTTGCAGTGTAAATGCACTTTCTTTCTGTTAGATACTTGGCTTTTTCCTCATCTTGAGTATCATAGAGAATTCTAAATTAGGAGGTAGCAGCTATCAATTAGATAAGAAGGCCTGGTTGTTTCAATAGACGCAGTATCAAATTCAACTATGCATTTTTTATCTTTTTTCTTGAAACAGGGGCCAGATGGATTACCAATGCCTGGCTGTTGGCAAAAGGTAAAGTAGGCAGATCAGTTCTGCACAGAAGCACTGTCCCTTTTTATTTGGCCTAAGGAGAACCCTATCAGCTCCACAAATATCAGCACTCCAATTTGCTTGAGACTATCTTATAGATATTTCAGTACACAGCAACATAACAAATAAGCTCTCTGTAAATATTATCTGTGTGATGAAGCTGTCAGATATAGGGGTTATAACACTGTTTATGCAATTTTAAAACAGTTGCCAGCTAAGTTTCTGGGAAGTCAACAACCTTTGTTCCTCACAGGAAGAACTACATATCTTTCAGCCTTCCATATGGGAAATCAGTTTTACCAAAATGTTCATAATGACCTTCCAAGCCTAGATTTTTCTTGGGTTATCCAAAGGGACAGTGTATCATGCTTCTGTTTCCCAGCCCTTCTCACCCTCCAAGGCATTCTCCTGACCCCCAGTTCATCTTGTTTTGTGCTTGTTGCTGTTTTATAGTAGTGTTAAGTGATAACATCACTAAGATGGCAATTTCCAGCCATTTATTGGTAGAACCCTGAGAATGCGAGAGTTGAAGTCATCAGCCGTCCGAATAGACATATCAACAAAAGGATATTTATTCCTCTCTGAATACTGAGACATGAACCATAAGTGAACTGCTGGCTGAATTTTAAGTTAGTGATAAAACTCTGATTGACATAAGTGGGGTAGGATTTCATACCAAGCCCGTTTCAAAGGTTAATTCTGGAGGGTTATGCTCATGCAGTAAAATAAACATTTATTGACTATTTTATTTGAAAATGTCAACTCGTGAGGAATTGTGGGCCTGTGGGGAGGAGGTACATCTAGCTCTCAAGCCAGGCAGTACCTCGCCAGGTGTGTTAACTGGGAACAGAGTCCATGCCTAAAACCAGCTAGCTAAAGGAGCAGTTAACAGTGCTGCTTTTTCAGCAGGACACACTGTAGAGCAGGGGTGGGCAAAATACAGCCTGTGGGCTGGATCTGGCCTGCGAGGCCATTCTGTCCGGTCCATGGGGCCCCTAAAAAATGTAGAAAATTAATATTTCTCTGCCCTTGGTTCCTGTCAAAAATGACAGGAACCAAAGGCAGTAGGACCCAGGGTAAGTCCAGCGGGCTCCCACAACAGCAGGGCCCTCCCAGCTTGGCCCCCCAGCCGGAAGCCCCAGCTGGGGTTTCTGGGCTGGGAGCACGTGGCTGCCTCGGTGCGGGAAGTTCAGGTAAGTGGAGGCGGGGGGACCCCGGGCAGGGAAGGAGCAAGGGGGGGGGGTGAAGCGGCCCCTCCCCACCCACGCCCAGTGCCCCATGCTGCAGCTGCTCACAGCCCACATGGGACTGCCTGTGCCTGCTCCGGACAGCCCCATGTGGGATGCGAGCTCCTGCAGCATGGGGTGCCAGCCGTGGGATGGGGGAGGGGCCACTTCCCCCATGCTCACTGGCAGTGGGGCAGGTTACAAGGTAGTGCTGAGTGCGGGGAAAAGTGGCCCCTTGCCCACCCCATGGCCAACCCCTGGTGCTGCAGCCACCTGCAGCCCACATAAGGCTCACTGTGCCTGCTCTAGACAGCCCCACATGGGCTGCGAGTGGCGGCAGCAGGGAGCGCTGGCCATGGGGCAGGCGAGGGGCCACTTTTCCCCGTGCTCAGCACCAGCTTCTTCCTGCTGGCAAGCAGGGGGTCGGGGCTGTGTGCTGCCCCCTGCCTGTACCGCGGGGCTGGGGGGCACTGGGTGTGAGTGGGCAGGGAGCCAGTGGGAGCACAGGGGCCCGCCCCAGTGTCCCAGGGCCAGTGCCAGTGGGGCCCAGAGCAGGGCAGCAGGAGTGTGGGGTCCCAGCTGGCAGGGGCTCTATGGAGCCAGGCCAGCTCCCCTCTCCCTGCTGGTGCAGCCCAGCCCGGCTCCACTGACCCCTGCTGGCCTGTGCCCTGCTCTGGGCCCCACCGGTGCTGGCCCTGGGACATTGGTCCCAAGACATTGGGATGTTGGTCCCAAGATGGTGACCAGGGGGCAGGGCACCTGTCAAGGGGCGGGGCTACCCATGTGGCCCTTGACAACCTGCCAAAACTGGGTAAGCAGTCCTCTGCCAAAAATAATTGCCTGCCCCCTGCTCTAGAGTTAATCCCATTCCCAGATCATCCTACAGCAGAGCAGGGCACTGTTTAGCCCTGTGTGCAAAACCTAGACAGGGTGTAGGCTAGGCTGAAAAAGATGTTAGTTTCTCTTGTGAAAGTCCCATTTCACATCAAGGAAGAAAACCCAAAATGCAGGGCCTGAAGTATTTGTGTAATTGCAGAAGAGCAGATAATAAAGGTGACTGTGGCTTCTCTTTAATGAGTGCTTCCCTTAATGCAGGCATTATTCCAGGTGTGGCTCTGTGAAAGTAGGCAAGGCAAGTCGGACTTGCAACTACTTGTAATTCCCTTTTTTTTTTCAATTCTCCAGATTTCAAGGTGACAGCTTTTACACCTTGGGACAGCTACAGCTACAGCTTTTAGAGGGAACCAGAATTTATTGTTTACCTCTCAGGACAATAAATCTTGTTCTCCTTTTGAAGATCAGTCAATATCTATTTATTATTTCTTAGATAATTGGTGACTGAAGTAGATGTGATCATTAAATCAATGTTTCTTGCTTTCACAGAGTTTATAGAAAGGGAAGTTGCAGGCATTTTGATCTTTTTTCAGTCAGTAGAAAAAAATATCTAGCAGTGATTATTAGGGGCATACTGAAAGCATACTTACTTTTGCTTTTGGTAATGGTTTTGTGTTCATGGTTCTGCCAAATCTTTGTGTATTTGGAATAAAAGTTTGACTGCTAAATAACTAACCTGATCAACTTATGTCTCTTTTTGTCTCTTTTCAGTGATGAATCTAACCTTACAAGCATGAAGTTGTGTATATACTGCTCCACTTTTTGTATTTATAGTTAAAAACTGAAAATTGATTTTACAAGTTTGAGATATGTTTACATGTAGCTGCTTCTACTTGTTTGCAGTTGTCCATGTGTACATCTTTTCTTCACTTACATCTGCAGTTAGTCACTATATAACTGCGTGAAAAACTTGTAGAAACAAAGATTAGTTTCTATATAGGGATGTATCTATGCAGAAACTAATCATGGAGATCTTATTATTTCTGTAAATCTTCTTTTCTTTTCATTTCTTTTCTTTTTTTTTCTTTTTCTCTTTTGGCTTGTGGACTTGCATGGACAATGAGTGCCATGAACTAGTTTACATGAAATTGTGACCAAATATGAGCTAAATGCTATGAAATGTACTGTACCAACTACCATTGGAGTTTACTGACTTGGCTTCCATGTTCATCTTAAACACCATCACTGATCCATGCTGCCACACTTGCTTGTACAGACTAAAAAAAAGCATGAATTGTGTGCCAAACCTGCTTGCTATGTGATTACTTCACATGCTAAAATGGCTGCTCACTGTGACCTTTGATTCAAACTGCTGAATTTTTTCCTTTTGTCATCTCAAGGGAGTCACACCATGGCTTATTGCCAAAAAGAGATAAAGCAGAGGAGATTAGAAACAGGTCTTGAATTTTTGGGGAACACAGTTCCAACTGCAGGTGGATGGCTTCCAGTTTTGTGGGTCCTGTGACCCTTTTGGTCAAGAAGGTCGTGCCTATTGATAAGCATTGGATTTTCTTGCACTGCTTGCAGTCCTGAAGACATTCGAGACAGATGGGTTTTGATATCTGGTCTTGTTGACCATTTAATCAAGAAGAGAAGAAGTTTGAAGAAGAAAGCACTCTTGCTTTGTGGTTAGTTTTAACAAGTTACAAAGATGCTGAGTGGATCATTTGATGGCAGACACCACTTGGGACAAGAAGCTTCACAACTTTATTAAAGGATTGACACGCTATGTGACCCATGTGTTGAATTTTGGAATTGCCAAAGGAAAGAGCATCCTTGGGAATGGGGGCGTTGTGTAACATTCCCCTCTTGGGGGTAATGGAACTGATCAGATACATATGCACTGTAGTGTGGTTTTAGGATGATCCCATTTAAATAACACATTTTGTTGAACTTTTCTGCAGTTTTGGAAGCTATACTTAATATTTTTCTCATTTTTTTCTCATAAACATTTCCATAAAAAATACTTTCGGTAACCTAATTAACATTTGTTTTGATGGCTTTGAAGGAATTTCTTCAAATCATCGGTTCCTCTTGTTTCAGTATTATCTGTTTTTACAATATTTGAAGCCTTTTATTCTGAGAAAAATAAGTTTTTTACTTTTACAAGCTGATTCATTGACATGATTCTTCTTCTACAGTTGCAAAAGATTTTGCTGGACATTGTTACCCAAAGAACATAGAAAAGGAATGAGCCTAAGTGACTGTCATTGTATGGTAGTCATAGTTCACTTTATAAGGTGTAATTATTTTTCCATTTCTGATCAAATGAGTCAGACACAAAAGAAGCGGAGACTAAGCTTTGTTTCTCTGCATTCTAATAATTGGAAACTTTAAATTTGGGCATATTTGTAGTTTTAGCTTCACGAAACTTCTTTTCTTTCACTCACAGTTCTGAGTCTTCATATGGTGCATTTGTGCTCAGATTGAGAGATTATATGAACACATATATTTTTTATCTATTCAGATGATTGTGGGTATTGAGATGAGCTCAAACATTTTTATTTACATTTCTAAAAAGTTTTTCATATGCAGACCAAAACTAAAGTTGCAGAAGAAAAGATTGTCTCCATTCATATGTAGGCACCTTGTCATTCCTGGAAAAAGGCATCATTTGTCACTCAGTAGATTTGTAGCTCTTCTGGAAATGGGCACCTGTCAAATAGGTGGGTTGTTTTAGTACTACATTAGAATCTATAGTGAATAGACCCTATGCTCTAAGCCTATAGAATATAGGCCCACTATACAGAATGTTATTTTTTATCTTCATTTCAGCATATCAAAGCCATATCAAAAATAGCCTTTTAAAGAGAGAAATATATTTCTACAATTTTATATTATAAATAAGGACCTTTTCCATGAAGTTCTTCATCTTATAGTTTCCTACAAAAATGGGCTGCAGGTGTAAACATTTAGCAAAAAAAAGCCCCATCGAGTCATCCTAGCAACAAGGACCATAACCGAAGTAATATTTTTCTCTGTCTAATCTAATTTCTCAGAAACAACTCCAGCAAGCTTAATATTATAATAATTTTTTTATAAAATGGCCTTACAATTACACAGAGCTGGTATGTGGTGTAATACATCTGGGTGCCACAGTAGTGACTTTAATGGAAATTTCCCACTCAGAGGCGATTATAAGGTCAGAAGCGTAACCAGTATCCCTGCCAGTCACTTCTCAGTTTTATTCTGCATTCCTGACAAAGATTCAGGCTACCCTCTGGGCAGGAATGGAATTCCCTCCATCCAGATCCTATTGTGGCACACATTGGCCAAGTACATTGTGGATGTGGGGAATTTGCATTTGCCTCAGAAACACTATACGTTGGAAAACACCAGAAAGAAGACTATTGACCAGTCCAATATGGTAATTCCAATTTTCCATTAAGGGATTTTCCTAGTTATCTTTTATCTTAACGCATAATATAATTTAGCTAATGTTTTTACAACACACCTCATCATAATCTACAAGTATGCTTATATGTTGTATTATATAAGAAACTGTGCAAGATGCATATGTCTTTTTTGCAGTATTCTACATGTGCAGAATAAATTTAGGAAGCTTACCATTTAATTCAATGTTTTAGCACCATGAATCGTAGCAAAATCTTGGAATTGGCCATAAAAGCAAAACATTTTAAGAAGTAACATGATAATAAAAGACTAATAAATGCGTGCTGTCACACCAGTATTTGCCTTTTTTTAAAAATGATATGAGAACCTGAACTTTAAACGTCATATTCTGTAAACAAGGAAATGATGAACTTAGTTCTGCTAATTTATAATCACTAGTTTAAAATACCAGTCCATTCAGTTCTGTTGATAACATTTGTGACTTTAAAACATAGAGAAAAATGCAATAATCCTCTAAGTGCGATATAGTCACTGACAGCAGTACACAGAGGATGCGTAGTTATGTAAATTTATTTTTTCCAAAATAAGTTCCTTCTTTTTACTCCTTTGAAATAAGGAACTCCCATGAAATAAGGAAGGTTTCTGCTTTCAGTTATTCTTTTTTCCATATTTTTAAAGCTTTCACTGTGGCTAATGCCAGGAAAGCATCATTCCATTGAAATAACAGGATTTTAACAGCAGATACATAGTGTAATCTGACTGGTAGGAGTAATAACAACTGTCATAAATATATATAGACAATTAATGGCAGTGAAAAGGTGCCTACATCATACCAAGTTTTACTGTGGGGAAATCTAAACAGCATGTATAAAACTTTGATATACAGTACCAAAAAGATCAGGTTGAGTATTTCATACTGTAAAGCACCCTCTGAAGACTTGCAACTTATGTGGTTTAAAAACACTCATTTTTGGTGCTACTATACCATTCTCTTTTATATCACAGAAAACCTCCATGTTTTATTATTGTGTTTTATCATTTCATTTTTGTAGCATTCCTTCCATACAGTTTTGTTCTGTGTAATTTGGGAACTGGCTGAAAAATTTATTGACAGCCTTTTCAGCTGTAAAAATGTATAGGAAGCATGACTTCACATAAGCTCCATATCCTTTGCTTCTTGTTTTGTTTTGCAATTATTTCTTGTTCTTTTGTTTAGGGTTTTCACTATATGTTTGTCACCAACTTTCAGATGTTTCATTTACTGAAGCATAGTGCAGTCGCACCAAGGAGAGTGTGCTAAAGGAACAGTACGTCTACGAGCACTGTTTGGAACGTGATACAAATGACCTCTGTCATCATTTTCATATCTTTGTTGTAGGGACACTTTCTTTCAAGATGTTTTGGACACTGATTTATATAAAGTAAAGCATGAAACACAGTTGGTGGAACTTTGATGCTAAATGTCATTTTTGAATATATATTTTTTCTTAATTTATTGGTGCTTTTGGTGTCACTGTCTGACATTCTGGTGAGGCAGTATGATTCTGGGCATCCAGCTGTTTCTATATGTTTTCTTTGTCTACCATATAAGTATTATAGAAAAGTTTGAAAAAGGTCAAATCAGCATGTCTGCATTCATAAAAATAAAAATGTGCTTTAATAGCTTTAAATGGGCTATTCTCAAAAGTCTTTGTTATGTGCAGTGGAGAAACATTGAAATTGGAGTTATTAAGCTTTCTACTACTGCAAGCACATAAACTAGTTTGTATTTATTGTCTGATTATGACACTGGGACAGATAATACAGCCCTGACTCATGCAAATATTCCTAACACCTTAAAGAGAGGGTGGTATGGTCTGGTGAATAGAGCCCTGAACTCATAGTCAGGAGACACAGAGTCACTTCCTGGCCACTTTGAAGTCAGTGGGAGTCATTCCATACCTTCACTGGGCCAAGATTTCATCACTAGGACCTCCTCCCAACTCTTTCCCTGGCACTTGGGGCAAACTCATGCAAGTCATTTCACCTTCTTGTGCTACAATATCCTTATCAGTAAAATGGGGAAAATACTACAAATCTCCTTTGTATACCCTTTTAAGCTGTATAGATAAAATGGGCTCCAAAAGATCTGGGTAATCATGAGAGAGATTCTGCTGAGTGCAGTGGAACTACTTTTTATAAGTCAGGACTACTTGAGTAAAGGCTGCAGGAATGTTCTCATTCTACTAAGTAAATATAATGCTACAGGACATGCAGAAACTAGCCTTTTCTTTCAAATATCCTTACCTCCACTACCTGGCTATCTTACAGCTTACCTGAAGAGAGCATTTTAATTTTCACAAAAAAAGAGTATGTCACAAAAATATGGATCTCTACAAGGAAAGAGAAACATAAGCAAGAATGGTTGTGGCTAATTTCTTTGGCCATTAAAGTAACGCGCCTAATATCTAACTGTTATTTCATAGCCACTTGTTTTTATGTATCTAAGGATTACTGTAGTATGGAAAAGTATTTACTTGGTGGTTGGAGTCATTAAGTGATGTCACAAACAAGTGCCTGCCACCATCATTTCCCATAGAAGTTGAAAAGGATACTCCACAGAACAGGTGGAATTTATGTTTAAAATAGTGAGCCCGGAGTGTTATTTGTGCTTTGTTTTGTTTTGTATTTTAAATACATCAAGGTATTGATGCTGCTTTAGAAACAGAATTGTCTTTCTTTGGAGATCCGGGAGCCTTACTCAACCTGGGACCTATAGTGTTTTATTTGTTTATATTTAACTAAGAAACTGTATGAACTTCCCAGATGCCATTGGTACTTGCACACTTCATTGAGGTATTATTGAAGGGTTTGGCTAGAAAAAGAATGTTTTACATTTATGTGGATGTTCTTATATTATTGTACATGTTTGGGAAAATATAATATTGTGCAACTTACTTTTTTTTTTAAGATGTATGTATCTGACATTTTTCCTTTGGAAAATACTATATTTTTATTTGTATTTTTTACTTTTTTAAGTTCATCTATATGTGCAGTTATTTTTATATCACAAATGGTCTCTTGAAAATGCAGTAGAGGAGATAATGCAAAGAAAAGTAATTTGGTGAGAATTACACTGCTTTTGGGAAAACATGTGAGTCTCATGCAATCAATTCTGCTACAAATATTCTGAGTGTCTCATCATTGTAAATATGGCACAAAACCTGTCTTGCCCATTTCAAGGTTTAAATTATCCATTTTCATTTGTTGTTAATTTTCATTTTATTGTGGCCTCTGGCTTCATTGAACCTGATCAAACCGCATGCTTTTGGTTTTGTTTTTAAAATTTCTCCTTGGTTTTCAGTTTTTAATATTGTTTTGTTGTATTTGAGATTTGTACTGAGTTTTTGTTTCTAGCTTGTGAGAAGTTGATCTTCAGAATTATTTTTACACTATTTATGGACTTATTTTCATAATGTAAAAAGTGTGTAATTATTAAAATATTAATCCAGCCATTAATACTGACTTGCATAGTTATAAAGTTTTCTCGGTGTTCATGCAAGAAATTGTTCTGGTTTCTCTAAACTGAAAAATACTGTGTTTTATGTTGAGCCTAAATGCATCTGGAAAGCGAGTGCAGCTCATTCTAGCTACTCTTCACACTTGTTCTATTCCATCAGTGTCACTCAACTTGAGGGTTATGAAAAGCAATCTAAAACAAAGCTGCTCCCCTTACTCTTCATATGCCTTTACCCTTCCAAGTCAAATATTTTCTGTCAGCCTCTTGAAACACAGACACAAGTGGATTTTATAAGGTTATCATTTTTACTACTGATATATAGAAATGTAAGGGCAAAATCATAAATGTTTTTAACCTTGAATAAAGGGTTGCCCACCTGAAAAAGTTGAGAAACACTGTCTTACATTAAGTTATTTATTATACTGTCTTTCTGGGGGAGAGACGCATCAGAGCATGAGAGCTACAATTGTATTAAATACTAGTAAATAATGTAGGTGAAGTGGCCGTAGCCACTTCAGCTAAGATTGCAAAATTGCTTCTGTTATAAATTCCAGTTCTTAGATTAATGTAGTTTTCCAAACACTCTTCTCAGGGAACTAAGATTTTCCATGCTGCTGCATTACCTAAATGAAAGGTTTGGGGAATGGAGATATTAAGCAGAAATTTCCTATGTACAGTATATTGAGAGAGAGGAGGCTAAAAAAATGTATTCCTATTATATCAAAACATTTGCTTCATGTTTTTGAATAGCCATATCACTAAAATGAGTATCATTTGAAAGTGGTAAGTTTGCCAGGACATACTTCTCAGTGAAACATATAATTTCTATCAGAAATTTATTTTCATTGGACTGAAACATGATCAGTTTAATTGCTTTATACAGAATGCATTTTTGCTAGTTAAGTGCATACCTCACCAACAAGGCACTGAGCACATGTAGTAACCTAGTTAGACCAGCTGGGAAACATTAGAGCTAGTTTTAGGCAGCCTAGGATGCAATAAAAGTTATCCTCCTTCTCCCAGGTGCCAAATACTGCCTTGGCCTAGAGGAGTGAATACAGTGACTACAGAGATATACATTTCATAGATTTCATGGACATTAGGGCTGGAAGGGACCTCATAAGATCATTGGGTCCAGTCCCGTGCCCAAAGGGCAGGAAGCCAGCTAGGTCAAAGGATCCCAGCAAGATAGACATCCAAATGCTTCTTGAAAGTGTCCAGAGTAGGTACGTGCACCACCTTTGGGAGGAGTCTATTTCAGGCCTTGGGGGCTCGGACAGTGAAGACATTTTTTCTTATGTCCAACCTAAAACGGTCTTGGAGGAGTTTGTGACTGTTAGGCCTTGTCTTCCCTTGGGGTGAACAGGCATTCCCCCAGATCCTGATGCACACCCCTTATGTACTTATAGGCTGCCACCAAGTCACTCCTGAGCTTATGCTTCTCCAAGCTAAAGAGTTGTATGGCTCTCATCCTCTCTTTGTAAGGCCTGTTCTCCTGCCCTCTGATCATGTGTGTGGCTCTCCTCTGGACTCTCTCAAGCTTCTTCACATCTTTTCTGAATTGTGGAGCCCAGAACTGAATGCAGTACTCCAGCTGTGGCCTCGCCAAGGCCAAGGACAGTGGGAGGATGACTTCCTGGGTCTTGCTGAGATGCATTGGTAGATGAAAGCCAGAGTTTTATTCGCTTTGCCAACTGCAGTATTGCATTTGTGGCTCATGTTCATCTTGTGGTCAATCATGACCCCCAAGTCTCTTTCAGCCGTGGTGCTAACGAGTGTAGCACTGCCGAGCCCATAAGTGTCATACGGGTTCCACCCCC